GGTGCGTGCATCCATGGGTGCGTGCATCCATGCGTGCGTGTGTGCGTGCGTGTGTGCGTGCGTGCATGCGTGCGTGCGTTCCTCCATCACCACGTGACGTTGTTATTGCAGACGTGAACAGGTTCCCGGTGTTGGAGCGTGAGCGTATGGAGCCGCAGCCTGCGGGGGCGGACGAGCGACGACCACCGCGCAGCAAGGCAGCGAAGGACTACGGTCACATCACCGAGATGATATTCGCTCTTCCCGTCATGCAGATGCATCTCAAGTCCGAACATCTACAGACCGAGTCCGAACCGAACCTGACGCGTACGTATGCAACTCTTTGTATTTGTTCATGTGATTGTGTCTGTCTGTCTATCTATCTTTCTATCTGTCTATCTGTCTTTCTGTCTATCTATCTATCTGTCCATCTATTTATCTATCTATCCATCTATATATCTATCTATCTATTCATCTATCTATTTATCTATCTATCCATCTATATATCTATTTATCTATTTATCTATCTATCTATCTATCTATCCATCCATCTATCTATCTACATCTATCTATATATATATATATATATATATCTATATATATATATATATATATCCTGGTTACCTTATAGTGACATGCATATCTATCGTAAATACTTCTCGTGTGACAACAAATTATAGTAAATGTTGTGTGCATCAGCGTCTGTCGTTGCCATGGCTACCATCAGCGTCTGACGTTGTTTCCACAGTTCAGAAGCCGCTCGTGGAATGCAGTTTCGTGACGGAGTTTGAGGATCACATCCTAGTTGCCGTGGACGCGGAATCCATCTTCTTCCTCCACGACCTAGTTACGTCCTACATCAAGGAGAAGGAGAGGGGTGAGTGGAGGAGGAGGAAAGGGGGAAGGAAGAGTGAAGGATGGTGGAAAGAGAAGGAAGGGGAGGGAGAAGGAGAGGGCTGAGCCCGAGCGCTCGCACGCACGTGCGGAACGGTGTCTTTTCGTTTAAAAATATCTGCATTTATTTAGCTTCTGTAGAGAGGAATTCGCTCGTCTGTCTGAACGAGACAAGCAAACCTCCTTCCCTCTTAGCTTTCCAGGATGTTGCTGCTAGGCTGGCCCGACTAGACTCGTATATACACGTTTGACACCATGATGTCAACTTCTCGGCAATTCATACCTAAACAACGTTTTTAGAATGCACTATCTCAATGCTGATGGCTGATACTGGCCTGTCAATCACTCCAGGCTGACACGCCCATCACATCTCACGATAAAGCCTGGAACGTTGCTGACCCAAGCTATGGGTATACCGGCAATAGCAATCTGCGCTCACGCACATGCGGTGTTGTTGTTGTTGTTGTTGTGTTGTTGTTGTTGTTGTCTCGTCAGTTGTTGTTGTCGGATGTAGCATCGTCGTCTCACGTATCGCGATGTGATGATGTTGGTAGATGTAGGCGGCGCGTCGATGAGGTCATCCCAGGTCGGTGGCTCCTTTGACGCTGAGAGACGATCGAAGATATCAAACCCGACGGAACTACTGAAGCAAGACTGGCGAGAGTTCGTCTGCAACACCTGGCACCTAGAGCCAACCGTCAGGTAAATATACCACCTGGCACCTAGAGCCAACTGTCAGGTAAATAGAGCACCTGGCACCTAGAGCCAACTGTCAGGTAAATAGAGCACCTGGGAAGCTAGAGCCAACTGTCAGGTTAATAGAGCACCTGGGAAGCTAGAGCCAATGTGTTGGGTTACGTGTCAGGCCTGCGTCTCGTCACGCGACTCTCCCCGCTGCCACGACACGGAACAGTGCTCGGCGGCACGATGGACCTGAAGGGGAACAACATCTCGCTCGCCTGCTTCCACGGAATTAACTTCCGCTCGAAGGCGTGGGCGCTGTTCTCGCTGCGGGAACCCAACATAGAGTTTGCTACGGAAGTCCAGAACGTCAGCAATAAAGGTGAAGCCATTCTCACTCTTTTCCTTGTTCTTTTTCTTCTTTTTGTTCTTTATTTTTGTTCTTCTTTCTCTTCTTACTACTTCTATTTCCTTGTCTTTATATTCTTCTTTTTCCTCTTCTTCTTCCTCGTCTTTTGTTTTTGTCTTTTCGTCTTTTTCCTCTTCGTCTTCGTCTTCCACGTCATGTTATACTTGTTCTTCCTCTCCTTCTTCTTTACTCTCTTCTTCTTCCTCTTCCTCTTCATTTTTTCCATCTCCCTGTACTTCTGCGATTTCTGCTGTGTATTCTCATGTCTGTTTTTAAGTTTCTTTTTATGTGTGATTTACTTCTTCTGGTTTGTTTTCGTCGTGCTTTATTGTTTTCCTAGTTCGGTTTTTATTGCTGTTTTTTATTGTTTTGCTTCTGATTCCCTCTTCATTTTTTCTCATTGTTTTCCTTCTTTCTTGTCTTCTTTTTGTTCTCTCTCTATTTTGCTTTTTCCTCTTCCAATTTCTTCATATTTGTCTTTTTTTCTTCTCCTTTCTCTTCCGCTTCTTTTCTCCTTCTCCCTGTATTTCTGCTGGATCTTCGTTGCTATCAGTATTACCACCAGTCTCTCGCTTTCACACATCTTCTCTTCGTTATCACACACACACAGGTTCTCAGGACACTCACATCGTACAGAACGTGTCGTTCCGGCTAGGACACGACATCACGGCGCACCAGGACAGTCGAGACATGGCCACGATCTGCCGCATCACGCGCAATCACTACATCCCTCCGCAGTTCCGCAGTGTCGCAGACTGGTTCAGTTATGCCTTCGCCACCAGCGAGATCGACGGTGAGCCGCGGCGCCCCCTGGTGGACATGGTAGCGGTCGCAGGGCTGGTATTGCTGTGTGTGTGTGTGCGTGCTTGCGTGCGTGCGTGAGTGCGTGCGTGCGTGCGTGCGTGCGTGCATGCATGCGTGCGTGCGTGCGTGCGTTCCTCTCCATCACACGTGCACGTTGTGTATGCAGACGTGAACAGTGTTCCCGGTGTGGGTTGGAGCGTAGCGTATGGAGCCGCAGCCTTGCGGGCGGGGATGAGCGGCGACCACGCGCCAGCAAGGCATCAGCGAAGGACTACGGGCAATCAACGAGATGATATTCGTCTTCCCGTCATTGCCCAGATGCATCTCAACGATCTGAACATCTACAGACCGAGTACCGAACGAACCTGAGCGCGTACGTTGCAACTCTATTGTCATTGGTTCATGTGATTCTGTTCTGCTAGGTGTCTTTCTTCATCCATGCGTCTATTCTGTCTTTCATATCTGATCTTTCTACTGTCTATCTATCTGCTCCATGCTATTTATCTATCTATCCATGCTATATATCTCAATCTATCTGTTTATCTTATCTATCCACTCAATCTATCATCCAATTCTATCTATCTATCTATCCATCTATCCTATCTATTATATCATATCTATCTATCTATCTATTCTACATCCTATCATACGTAGAATTAGATTAGATATATATATATATATATATATATATATCCTGGTTACCTTATAGTGACATGCATATCTATCGTAAAATGCTTCTCGTAGTGTGGACAACAATAGTAAATGTTGCGTGCATCAGACGTCTCTGTTCGTTGCCATGGCCCTACCATCAGCGTCTGACGCGTTGTTCCACAGTTCAGAAGCTCGCTGCTGCGAATGCAGTTCGTGACGCGAGTTTGGAAT